CTCGGCACTGGTGAGGCCGCCCCTCGATTCCTGTGTTCAGTTTTGGGCCCCTCACTACAAAAAGGACATTGAATGACTCGAGCGTGTCCAGAGAAGGGCAACGAAGCTGGTGAAGGCTCTGGAGCACATGTCTTACGAGGAGCGGCTGAGGGAACTGGGGGTGTTTAGTCTGGAGAAGAGGAGGCTGAGGGGAGACCTCATCGCCCTCTACAGCTCCCTGAAAGGAGGGTGCAGAGAGCTGGGGATGAGCCTCTTTAACCAAGTAATAAGCGATAGAACAAGAGGGAATGGCCTCAAGTTGCGCCAGGGAAGGATTAGACTGGATATTAGGAAGCATTTGTTTCCAGAAGGGGTTGTTAGGCGTTGGAATGGCTGCCTGGGGAGGTGGTGGAGTCCCCATCCCTGGAGGTGTTTGAGAGTTGGGTCGACATAGAGCTGAGGGATCTGGTGTAGTTGGGAACTGTCAGTGCTAGGTTAAGTGTTGGACTAGATAATCTTCAAGGTCCTTTTCTGTGTTTCTGTGATTATGTGATTCATACTGCAAAAGCCACTTCTATGACTTGCAGTAACTGACAAGAGGGGCTATGGGTGAGCTGAATCTGGCTGGTGGTGTGAAATGTGGAGATGCTAAATAACTGAGTCTTCTACCAGGCTGCCAGGTCAGGGCTGAGCCTCCTTGGAAGAACAGAATGGGAGAGCGACTGCAGTTGCTGACAAGCTGCTGTAAGTGTAATGTCAGTCAAGTCACCTGGATGCTTTGATAAGGGTTCACTTGTCTGAATATTTTGAAGGCCAGTGTACTCTAAGGTGCCCATTACTGCTACTGGGCATAATCCACTCAGGTGAATAAGTGGCATGATCTTTAAGTAGAATCATTGGCCAGTTACTGAATATTCCCCTCTCCATATAACAAAGCACCTAGTGTTTATGTCTCAGCCCCAGCAATTGTCTGTAAGCAACAAAACAGGTTATTTTAAAACATGTTGACATTGGTGACTGTACAGCAGTAATATAAGAATATTTTGTGTTTTCTTTTTTTCTCATTTTCATTGTATCTAGGTTTTGACAGGATCTTTGTGGTCAGGTAGTTTTTGACATACTGGGAATTTTAGATTAGACTACAAAAGCACATGCAGAATTTCTTTTAAGCTAGCCGAGAAGTAAAGCACAGAAGCTAATTTTCAACATTTAAAAGGAAGTAGCCCTCAATAGGTGTTTCCTCTTTTTTATTTTTTTCAATCGATTATAATCACTTAAAATCAATGTATTTTAGTATGACTGCTGTCCTACTAATTCACTTGGTTGTAAATCTTATTTTTCTGATTGTCTTCTGGCCCCCTCGTTCTCCCACCAAAAAAAAAAAAAAAAAAAAAAAAAAATATCCAAAATTCAGGCTTCTAACAAAAGATATGTTTTTCTTGGTGACCATTCACAGACCTATTTTAAAGTAGTTTGTAAGGCTTTAGAAATTAACTCTAGGTTGAAAATACTTGCACCAGTATTAGAAGGAGTATATCAGTGGTCCATGAATTTGGCTGTGTGCAAAGAACTTTGCGCATCTGACTGCATTTACTAGTTCTTTTTCACTTCCCGCCTGGAAATACTTAACTGCTTTGTCTTCCTCACTGGTACTGTATATTCTCCTTTTTCTCTGTTCTTATGAAATACAGGGGTGGAGAGAAGTCCGGACCACAAGGAGCTGTGAGAGTTAGTGCCATTCCTTAAGCAGATGACAGCTCCTTCCTTGAAGGCCTTGCAGTTTTTTGTCTTACCACCAGCTATAGTGGACCCTTACTGTCTGTTGGCTGTTCTTGCTGACTGACACTTCTGCTTTTTCCAGTTAAGCAACTCAGCCTGCAATGTGTACTTATGCAAAATACTTGAGTAAACCACATTGTTTGTAACCATCTTCTCATCACATCCCTCTTTGAAGAGGGAAATTTTCACAGAGCAATGTCAAACTTGTGAAGAGTACATTTATTCCTGTGTTGTTAGAGAGAAATTATATAGTTGAATGTTTAAATGGCTGTATTTGTAACACTGTTGTCCTTTGGAAAATTCTGGGGAAAAGGATGAACTAAAAAAGTCATGTTGAAGTAGTACTGAAAAGACAACGGGCAATTTCTCAATAGCACCAAGGCATTACTGCAATATGTCCTGGAAAAACTTTGCTTTGCTAGCTAATACTCTCTGTGTGCATAAACTATACAAGGTTGAGTGCTTAAATAAGATTTATCTGAAACAGGCAGTTCATGGTTTTTATTGAAAATTTTATATGGAGACCCAGAAATCTTTTAAGACTTTAACACTACATCCACTGTTATTTGATAGTTATTTAGGAAGTGTGGAAAGGATTTCACCTTTAAGGAAATGATTCCGTCTTGTAGAGGCATTTCTTCACCTGATTTTTTTTTTTTTTTTTTTAATAGACAGTGTTTTTATCATTGCCTGAAAGGAAAATGGGATCAAAACTTTGAAAAACGGGGTATAATCATTTTAATTCAGTCTTCAGGTGATGTTAGGATGTCGATCCCACTTACTGTCAAGCCTCATTTTTCAAAAATTGATACTTTGTACTTTTAGGTCTTGCCCTTTTCAGATAAACAATATGTAAAAAACAAAACAAACAAACAAAAAAAACCACACCAACTTTTTATGCTGCTTTAAAATAAATGATTAATTCTTTCAACATATTCTATGTGTCTTTTTAAATCCTGTTAAGATTTTCTTCATAGCCAAAAAAATTACATCCATCTAAATTCTTCTAAGTGCTTTATGACTTTCAATTCTAACTTCTGTCTTTAGCTCTGAAAAGAAAGCAGAACTGCTTTAGATCTCATCTAAATCTTTCAGGGAAGGGAGGAGGCAGGCAAGTTTAGCTCCAAGGTGATTTTTCCAGCTTATGCCCAGATAACTGAGATGTTCTTGTTTCAACTTTTCATCAGTTCATTCATTATTGGACAGAAATTGGGCACAGAAAACATAACCTGAGAAGATGAAGCTTCTGAACACCTGGAATGGATTCAAGTAATATTTGAGACTGTTGCTGTCTAGTCCACTAAACTATAAATCAAGAAGGCACACAAATTTAATGTCCCTGTCCCTAAGACAGCTAGCCACCCTGCATGTTGGTTTCTTACCTTGGGAGAGCCCGAAGAAGAGTGGTTACTGTGCTCTGTGTTTTGTACCCCGGGAGGTGGCGCACATGGTTTGTTTTTCAAATAGGAGAGGTTTGAGCCCTTTCACAGCAAATTCTGTTGTCTTGCTTGAATTCTATTAAAAGTACTTTCAATATTTCTCTTTTTTAAATATCCTACCTAAAAAGGTCTTTAGCTTGGGGTGTCCTGATCATTTAGTAATATCCCTCTTCCCTCCTCCTAAAAGCCTTTTAAAAAATGTCTGTTATTTTTAAGCCGCGAACTTTTATCTTTAAGAGTAGCATGGTGTATTATGCATATTGATAAACTGGGTGGATTGGTCAGGCATGATTAGCACCACTGTTTAATATGGTGGCTTTATTTCACTTTTTGACAAGCTGGCTCGCTTTGTTACTGTCCAGAAATTCAGTGAAGCCTCCCTACCATTACACAGCTCTGCTCACAGGGATACTGTACAAGTTTTCAGTTTCCTTCTCATGCTTAAACTTCCCTTATGCTTTTGAAATTGCTATCATCCTCAGTGCACTCTCTGTGCTTCAGGGTTATTGAATCCAAAACTGTAAAACTGTCTGTTCAGTCACCCTTGTTCAACTTTCCCCATTAAAGCTGGCCTATATAGACAAAACACCTTTTAAGTTCATGTATGAAACATAAAAGTAAGAATTTACTTCAAGAATACGGCTTTTTCAGTAATGATAGTACAGTGCTGACAAATGAATGAAAATTTACAATCCGAGTGCTCAGTGTAGTTTTTCAGGACAACATGTAATTCTGATAGCCGTCCTGTAAACATTAACTATTCTTCCCTTTCTGCACCAAAACAAATTATTTTCTAAAAACAAATGGTTCGGGTATTTTTCCTTTTAGAGGGCTTACAAGTAACATCAGACTATACCTTGACTTACCATTTGTTTTTCTAGGAAATTCAATAGCATTTCCTAAGAAATAGAAGTTACTGTAAAGCTACAAGAATCTATGCTGCCAGTGTATATACAAATATTAGCATATTGGATGTTCATAGATGTTAGCTAGATAAAACTACTTTTTCTGAATAAGCAAGGTATTGTAATTCTTCAACTTCCTTCTTTTCATGCACCCAGCACTGTTCTGAAGTACTATGCATAAGAATGCTATTTATTTTTCCTTTGACTTTTTTTTTATTGTAACTTAACATTAACTTCAGCTTTCCGTATTCTTACTGTATGAGATTTTTTAATTGTACTTCTTAGAACGTTCTTTAGGCTGGTGTTTTATACTGATTTTTAATCACTGATGTATTTTTATAGTCTCCTGGTTTGCACATATATTCACTTTCATTGACTAACTTACACCCAACTATTACCCCACACTGTCCTGAAATATCAACCCACTATGACTCCCCATGTCTGCTGCCATCCTGGCCCATAGGTAAGGTGATACTTTTTTTTCTCCCTTCCCCTTCTCTAGGAGACGGGTCTGAAAGAAATCCAGGTCTCTCACTCTGCAGATTGGGCTTCAAAAGAGGATTTACTGTGGTTTTTTGCTCTTTTAGAACTCCAGCATCAGTTTCGGGTGACCTGAGCCCATCATGGTGGCATCGGCCTGGGTGCCTGCTGAGAAAGCTGGTACTGGCAGAATGGATCAGGGAAGAACTCCAGGATATACCACGGGTTGTCATCAAGCTACACATGATTTGGGATTTCTGATAGCAGGGATCGTTGCCAATTCAGCTCCCTCTGGTAAATCTCTACTTGATTAAGTAGGCTCGCAGAATTGTTCGCATCCAGACTTGGCTGTAGACTATATGGGATTGCACAGGGTCTGTGCTGGTAGGGATCTGTAGGCCTAATGGCTGTGCTGACAGCAGCATTTCAAGAAAATGGACAACAGAGATCCTGTTGGATTGTGCAAAGCTGTATCAAAGTATCCAGCATTTAAAGAAGGATTTTTCTCTCCCTCTCATTTTGCCCTTCTCCCTACACTGCCTTCCTCTTCTGAAAGGTTTGGGCCATTACATATTAAAGATGACTAGATTTGGGCCCATAATGTATTAAACTATTGCTGCTAATACCAAGGAAATGTTGCCAGTCAACATCTATCTGGTTGAAGTACAATTGAATATATTTCCTTGTGTATCTCTGGATTAACAAAGCATAAGAAAAACAAACAAATATGCCTCATCTTTGAGTCATTTAACAGACCAGCAATGTGCTGGGAGCTAGACTCACTAGCTTTACAAGTTTTCTAGCTTATCAACTGAAAGTAATAATTGCTTGCTTTTTGCCTTTTGTTACATGATCCATTTTTGTATCTCGGGGGAAGATGTTAAGGTTTTAACATATCCATAAAAGAAGTATCTGAAAACTGTCATCTTGTTCTAAGTATTTGCTCCTGAGTTTCATAAAGCCGTTCAAGGTAGACCAGAAAAAAAAAAAAAGAAAAAGTCATTGTATTAAAATAAACATTTAAATCCATATTTCTACATATTACTCTCTATGCTACCACAATTCAGGATGTTGAGGTTCTACCTGAATTATGGGCACAGGCACATAGTGAAGCATGGCTCTTACAGCAGCTTAAAGAACTTCTCTTCCACATTGCCACCCCTATTGTCCATGTGTATGTTCTTATCTGCCTTAAGTCTTAGGTAAAGTTAACTTAAACATCAGTTGCATATTTTATGTAGGTAATCTAGTTTTTCCAGTAGCTCTTGAAGTCCTTGTGACCTCTACAAGCAAAGATTTGGTGCAATATTCTTTGCCTTACAAACTGTGCCTCCCTTTGAAATCACCAAATTCTTTAACTCATCCTAGCAGAATTAAAAATACATTGTTAGCCATTTGTGAATGAGCAGAAAACATGTAAATTAAATAGGTACAAGGACTGGCCTGACACTTTGCTTAATTTGTTACCCAAGTGGGGAACAAAATGCCCCTGGAGGTACAGCAGCTTAAAGCAAGAACTTGCTCTGTTGCAATTTTTCAATGTTAGCAAATGTCCATAAACTTTTTCTAAGGACTGTGGATTTTGTGATGATAAGACTAACACATAAGCACTGTGCACCTACATTCACCTGTTTCATTTAGTATCTGTAAGAGTAATTTGTTTCCTGAGTATGTTTCCTGTGATGCTTATCACCAAAGGGGTTTACAGCCTCACAGGCATCTAGAGCAAAGATTAATGTTTTGAAAGATTTTCTCTAAGCTTTCAAATTACAGAATGAATGGTTACAGAATAAGAACAGAAATGATCCTTCAGGAGTGTTCTTTGATTAATTACTGAAGAAAGAACAGTATTACTTTTCTTTTTCAGACACAAAACTGAGATACCTGAAGTAAAACATTTTAAATTTTCCTGGTCCTTTGGTATTCAAAATCCCCTCAGCTAGAGACCACTGGATCCCTAGGCTTTGGAAGGTAAGCAAACCAGTTAGTGTGTTGCCTGGTTTTGTAGCAAATGCCTGGCTGTAGTTCAATGTAGTTTAGGCAGTAATGAAACTGAAGTAACCTGCTACACTTTTCTTGTGGATAAAAGCAGGTAAATTGGCAGTTATCCAATAGACACTGATCCTTAGCGATAGTGATTTTTCACAGTTCAGGTGGTGACAAAGCTTCTAGGAGCTTAAAATTTTTATCCATGGAGTCTGTGACACACCAATGCTCATACAACAAATTTATTACAAAATTAAATTATCCTGATCCTAGTTAATTTTCTTGGCTTTAATAAAAGTAGCAGAGTTTTTCATTTGACTAACACAAACTGTAGTATTTTGGGTTTAAAGACACATTATTTTTACTTTAGAGACTAGAAATGTACTCTTCAATAATTTCAGTCATTTATTAGCAGAGACATCATTTTCTGATTTATCTCACAGGATAACAGTGCCTGCAGAAATAATTGTGTATTTGGAAAAGTAACCCAGAAGGGTGTTGTCCTTAACTTTCTCTTACCCGCATGTAACTCCTTTTCCTTTTTCTCCTATGCTTTTCATTTCTTAAGTTGAGTTGTCCCTTGCTACCGCTGTAATTATTCTCACACCTAGGTTTTATTGGATATTGCTTTTCATTTGCAAGGTCCACTACATTTGAAAATAACCAGCAGCAATTACTCCCTTAGGTTTACCTGTAATTTATAGGATACTATAATATCCCGCTCACAGATGAGGACAAGAAATTACTCTTCTCCAGGGACTGGAAACATTAATAGTTTTCATGGGTGTCCTGGGAGGAAGGCAAAAGCTGCAGTTTGGCTGTGGTCATGTATGTGCCCTCCTGCAGGATTTTATTCATCTGTTTGCTGAACTAATCATAATTTCTATGCATCATTAGAGGCAGAGTGAATGAAAGAGATTCTAAATCAGAGTTTTAAGAGCAAATTCTAATTCACAGCGTAGTTTAGTTATTTCATTCTGAAAATTGCTCAGCTTCCTTGTTTGGTATTTGTCCAACTTGGAGGTCTTCTGCTGGGTTTCCTGAACATGTTTAAGCTGTCCTTGATGTGAGCTGTAATTTCCTTGATTCAGAGCCAGGGCTGACTGGTACTGGCAGGGCTCAGTGCCCACACAGGCCTGCGAACACCTATCAACCAGAGCATGCTGGAAACTTGGCAAGCCCATGGTGTGGGACTCCTGATGGGCAATGACATTATCTCCCACAGACTAGAAAACATGTACTGTCAGCACAGTGCTGTGGCTTCATGCTCCTTACACCTGGCCTGGGAGGCTGGTGAGTGGGAGACAAGCAAGGGTGCTGCCCCACACCCCAAAGTGCAAGCCATGCAAGGTTTCTTGGTGGAGTGATGGGAACCAAGGACTGAGCAAGCTACCCCACCAGAAGGAAAACATCCAGGCGAGGCTGCATGACACCTTGCTCGCAGCACTGGCAGGGCCCACCACAAGAAAAGATGAACCAAGGGCTCGGCCTGGTGGGCTGGTGCCCATGGTAGGACTTGTGTCATCCTGGTGCTGTGGCAGTGGGTGGAGGAAGGAGGGGGCTCCAGTGGGGCCCTGCCTTGTGGCCTTGACAGCTCAAACACCAGGAAGACCCTGGCCATCACCAGGAAAAAGCCCTTCCTTGCTTTCTGAGTTGGGTTCAACAGACTTAATAACAGGTTCATTTTAAGATTTGGGCAAAACCAGTTTTTTGAACAGGGTGACAGGTGGCATATGAACCTTCATTCTGATCCTACTGGCCAGTTGGTTTCTTTACGCAGAAAGTAACTTTTAGCACTACCTCTTATGTTTGAGTTTCTGGGTGGAGTCTACTGTTGTAACGCCTTGGCTCAGAAGGCGCTTGGTTTGACAAGATAAATCCTCCTTCCCCCGAGGCCGCCCGCCCTCTCCCCCTCCAGAGCAGCCGCGGCCGTTACGCGGGCCAGGCCCTTCCTTCTCCACCTTTACCAGGGAGGTAACGCGAGGCCTCGATTCCGCCCGGTCCTCCCGGACACCAGCAAACGGCAAAGCGGCCGAGAAGGCGAGGGCGGGGGGGGAGTCGCGCCTCCCCGGACGCGGCTGTGGCGGTTCCCCGGCCCCAGCTCCCCTCCCCTGAGTGCCCCGC